AAAATCAGGGTATCCGCCGCTGACAGCAGTAATTTGTTTCATTACACTTAGCCACAGCATTGTCAGATCTACACATGCGCAGGCGGCGCAGCTATATCAGCTCGTTCAGTACCTACTTCCTGAATCAGGGCTAGCTCGCTGCTGTGCTTAATAGTAGCATGTAGGTGAGAAGCCGAAGACTTAAAACAGGCTGCTGGAGGTGACTTTCCCAAGTGGCAGACAAAAAAAGTGGACTTTTGTTGAAGGTTGGCCTAGACAACATGGATTACTGGGTAGGTGTAATTTTACTTTAGTCTGTTTTCTCACTTTACATGGGCCTACAGTGTGATACACGGGTCGATGGCAAGACGCCTAAAGAAGCAGAGACCTGTTTATCGGCACTGAAGTGAGCTAGTGGGCCGACTTGTTTTTACTGTCGGGGATGCTCTAAGTGGGTAAACAGCTGACTGACAGTTTGACTGTGACTCTTGTTATAAAAAACTTACCATCCAGATTTATTGGTGCTTTTAGAGAAATATTTAAACTTCCTCTATACTATTATCTGTGAAGTGGGACATTACATGAGCCACATTGTGTTTTCCCATACGTACTTTATTAAGTTAGGCTTATATCACAAAGAAAGTAGCAGTGCCACCCGGACATAACTGCATGTTACCTTTCTGATATGTCAGATCTGATTTCTGTTTTAATGAGGTGTCTATTAGTGAAGAGTACTTCCTTTGTAAAAGGGTCAAAGCTCCTCCCTGTTGTTAATTGTGGCACACTGTTTAAAATTGGAGATCCTGTTCAACATAATCCTGCAGGAAGTTTAAACAAAGCTTTACGCCTGGTATGGCCACCAGAGAGCTGTGGAATTTTGTGTGGTTTTCTTTTAAAGGAGCAGAATCAGCTTTTGCTGATGGCAGGACATCAGCAGCAGAAAGATGAAAGACTGACGGCGGCTCATCTGACACAGATCTGCTGTCTGTGCACAATTAAACACCACACTTTGCGTCACTGTCTGGACTCCTCTAGGTCATGTAAAGGAGGAGACGTAAATATCAGTCTGTGTCACTATAGCTCAGAGGCTCTGCAGGCAGGCAAAGAGAACTTTACAGGCACTTCAGCTTGACTGTTTCTCCCTGGATGATCTGTGGATCTCTCTTTGAATGTAATCAGAGGTGATGTTTTGCTCATAGTCTGTTTTTTTCTTTGATGTAACCAGGAGCAGCCACCTCACACCCAGTACATTTCCATGATAATGTGAGCTCCCCTCTGAGACAACAAAAGCTCTCCTTACAGAATACTCAAATGTGAGGGGGAGCAAAGGAACGGGCGTCAGCTGCTCAACAATGAGGCAGACAATACTGGTACAAGAGTCTTTGTGTGAACTTGGTTTAAGTTTTCCTGAGGCAAAGATAGCACTGAATAGTGGGTGGACACCAAATGTGTTGGTAACAGAGGTCTGGACCCTAAGGGGCAGACTTGCCTTGTTGTTGGATAACGCCATTTGATAATTTCTTTATGACAGACATGTAGCAGCAATCACCTATACCCCACCTTTACATATAAGTACTACTCCTGTTAGGAACACTCAGGCAAGGTTCCCAGTCAACTTATGTTAATGGCTTGTTTTCCAGTGCTTTCCTGATCTCACCAAACCTGTATGAGAACATGTTGTCCAAACAGACAATGGCAAGAAAAACTATGTAAATCCTTTGGAATGACCTGCATTTCTGTGTTAATTGGTCATAAAATGTGATCTGATCTTCATACAAGTACAGAAAAACGGTGTGGTAAATTAATAACACACACAGTTGTAATATTTTATGTGCTGGTAGAAAAGTAAGTGAACCCTTGGATTTAATGGTTGAGTGTCCTTTGGCAGCAAAACCCTCAAACTACACTGTTTTGTTGAGGTTAAATAGCCAGGTTTTGCAGTTGTTGTCCTGTGCACACTACTACTACTACTACTACTACTACTGGTGGTTAACGTGTTGGCAGCTCTTGGCTAGAACAATTTCTCACCTTTACAAAGAGAAAATTTTGATTTGTTGATTTGATTTTGATTTGATTTATTCTTTCAAGCATGTAAAGACAGTTGATATGTCAACATTTGAAACATGCAATCGACAACACTGTGTATTATTTAAAGTAAATTGTGTGGGTGAGAGTCTTATCATTAGCCAGATATATGACGCATACTGTAGGCCCATGAAACATAGTTTAAATCTACAATAGTACTGAAAACTCTATTGCTGAGTTTTGTAATTTTCTGAAATGAACCTCTGGTGCAGAAAATCCTACACATGGAATAAGCTGACGTGGACTACATTCAGCTCATTCACATTATGATCAAAACTTAGTGGGAAATACCATCTTTGAGTTTCAAGTTGTTATTTTTTTTTTACAGCTTGAAATTCAGATTTGCCTGTCATTATAAATTCTGTAAAAGTGGCTTGAAAAGACAAGGTTTTACATCCCTGGCACGCACTTACAGTTGTTTCAGTGGTCTTTATCTGAAACTGCCAATGTGGAAATGTAAGTGCTTGCGGCATAGTGTACATGCGAGAATGAGGTTACCCTGCGAGCAATGCGAGGGTTCTCAGGGTTGTCTTTGACAGTAATCGTGAGTCTGTATTCAGCCACTCGCTCTCTGTCAAGCGGCCTGTTCACTTGAACCACACCTGTCTGGAGGCAGAGAGGGGAAGAAAGAAGTCACATCTGTGTTCAGAGATCCATTCCTTACATTATGATATGGTTTTAAAATCTGAATCAGAAAATCAGAATCAGAATCTGCTTTATTGGCCAGGTGTGACGGACACACAAGGAATTTGTCTCTGGTACATCGACTTTCAATGTGCAAACAGTAAGCCAGCATAAGGCAGTGTAATATAACAAAATAAGCAGTATTAACAGCAACATTGACAGCAACAAACAGTGCAAACAATGCTGAATAAGCAGTATAAACAGACGGTAAACAATGCAGACAACAAAGGAATGTTTGTTGAAACGAGATAAATAGGGATTAAAATAGAGTACTTAAAACTAGAGACCTGTACGGATCTGTATAATCTGTACAATGTATATATACACAGGTGTTGCACTGAGGGTTATTGTCCAGTCATACTGTCGTTGGTTAAGTGTTCATCGGAGTGATTGTCTGGGGAAGAAACTGTCCTTGTGCCTGGTTTTCTTGGTGCACAGTGACCTATAACGCCATCCAGAGGGGAGGAGTTCAGATTGTGTCCGGGGTGTGAGGGGTCTACAGTGACCCTCTCCACCCCCCTTTTCACCCGTGAGGTGTACAGGTCCTTCATGGAGGGCAGGCTGACACCAATGACCTTTTCTGCAGTCCTGACTGCATGTTAGCCCAGCTAGCTGGATAGCAGACTCCGGGATGTTGTCATTTAGCCATGTCTCCGTAAAGATGAAAACACAGCAGTCCCTCACATCACACCGCGCAGATCTCAGGAGCTGTATGTGGTCTATTTTGTTGTCCAGTGAGTGTACATTGGCCATAATGAGGGATTGCATCACGGGTCTGTGTGGGGTGTGGGCTAGCCTGGATGCCTCCATGTTTGCCCTGCTTCTGTTTACACTCAACAACACTTCCGATGCCTCCTCTCAGAGGGTGATGTATGGGGTGATGTAGCCGGCATGTCCGGTGATGTCATAATCCGCCAGAGAAGCCCCAGGCCTTGAAGTTCCTCTGCAACTTTGTGGTCCAAGTTGAAATGTTTTTACTTATTTCCTAAATCCACAAGGCAGTGGCGACTGTATCTTGAGCGCAACGTAAATGTTGAGCTACGTGCACCAGAACATAAACACGACAAATGCAAACACACACTATAACACACATTTTTAGGCACACAACTCGTAGAGAGAGGGGCAGACATATCCAGACATGTAAGGCCTGCATTAGACCAATTCAGTTTCCAGTTGGTGACTTGCAGAGTACACATCTCCAGTTTGCAGCATGTGAAAATGAGCAGAAGAGTTACAATAAGCCAAACTCTGGATCATATCTTTGCTGAAAATGAGACAGAGGACACAGAGCAGCATAGCAATACAGATGAGCAGGTTTCTGAGGAGGAAGACAATGTAGAGTATCAACTTGGTCAGAACTTTTTAATCTCAACTACACCCCCCCCTACTAAAAAGTCCTCTCTCACTCATTGGTTGAACTGATACTGTCAAAATGAAAACTCTACCTCAAATCAACTACCTGTTTCCCCACAACATCCACAGATAAATGGTTTAAATCACTTGATTATATAACTTCACAATTTTATTGGGGAAAAACAAGAAACCCAAAATTTCTCTATCTACACTCCAAATGAACAAATCACTAGGTGGCCTAGAAGCACCAAACTTCCAATATTACTACTTGGCAAATCAGCTACAAATATTTAGTCAAATGGATTCAGAAGGACAGTTGCAACCGTACATGGATAGAATTAGAGCAAAATTACTCCAAAAATAACTCAAATAACTCAGTTGCAGACCTTCCTTTTCTACCAAACTCTATTAAGAAAATGAATTACTGTAAGAACATCACAATCCTTTCAACTCTGACAAATAATGTCATGTACTGTTTACATTCTCAGTTTGCACGTGCATAATTGCACATTGACTGTTGACTGCTGCACATGCTGCTCCCATGCAGCATACATTCTCT